AGCACTTCTAAACTAAGGTCGGTTATCGCAGATAACCCTCGATTAGCTTTGCATGAAAATCAACAAACAAACAAAAACTATAAAGTAATACTGTTAGTCGTTTGGCTATATTTTTAAAATTATAAAGTAATATTACAATTTGTTAAGTGATATACTAAAAGATAAGACCAGCATTATTACATATAAGGAGATCTTCTTTTAGAAATACTAAACATAATTACTTCTAAAGTGATATTTTTAAGTATGTAAAACAACATTATTATTCGTTAAGTATTGTTGTTAAGTGTATATAGAAACAATATTACTAAAGAAATATGGTTCTTAGGATTACAAAACAACATTATCTAGAAAAATAAGTATTAGGATTATAAGAAAACATTATGATCTAGTAATATGGTTCTTAGGATTATAAAACAACATTATTATTTAGTAATATGGTTCTTAGGATTATAAAACAACATTATTGCTTAGTAATATGGTTCTTAGGATTATAAAACAACATTATTATTTAGTAATATGGTTTTTAGGATTATAAAACAACATTATTATTTCGTAATATGTTTATTAGGATTATAAAACAACATTATTATTATGTAATATGGTTCTTAAGATTATAAAACAACATTATTTTTTAGTAATATGGTTTTTAGGATTATAAAACACTATTATTATCTAGTAATATGGATCTCAATATTATATAACAATATTATTATTATTTAGTAGTATGGTTATTAAGACTATAAAACAAGATTATAAAATGATCTAATAACACAACAATAAAAAGTTACGGTGCAGTTATGAAGCTCGCAAAATATTTTTTTTGTAAAGTATTTCTAATTTTTTATCTCGCACCAGCAGGAGTACCCGTCCGTTGGACGTATGAAATAAAAACTCATTTGTAACAAAGGATAGGAAATTGTGCTGCTATTTGTTTCTTGACATAATAAACATTAAAAGTGCAATAAAATTATATAAAGATAACGATACTGAAAAGAAAGATATACTGTTTTCAAGAATTCTATCAATATGAAATTAGATGGGGGGGTCTAACCCCCCTAATGACCTTCCTCATGTCATCCTGAATCACTGTGTCAAGTTTGGTTCTGCTTGATCAATAAATGTGGAAACTTATAAGGAACACATATGAAATGATAGTTTGACAGTTCCATTGATTAACAATAGTTACGTCTTAACAGCTTTGACAGCTTGTACAAGGCCAACACACCAAAATAACTGTTAAATGTAATATTCTTTACGTAGGAAGATTTTGTATAGCCAGTAAATTTTGATTATGAAGGTAAGTTAATTTTTCCATCATAGTTTTACAGTTCACTCGTTTCTATTAGTATTTTCTTAATTCAAAACTGATTTTGTATTGATGTACAGATTGGTCACGCAGTGCTCTCGTTCAGCGTCACCTCAATTCTTGGCTTAAAGTTCTTTAAAAACTTACACATTTCGAAAATTTCGAAGATGTTTCATTTGGGCTTGGTTCCAAATGTCTAGTTAATGTCACCTTTATCCGCAACGTTCTTTCGCTTTCTGCTGAGCAAAGAATGCTAAGTCTTTATTTTTAGGTATTCCGTTACACGTTATTGAAGTGCAGATGAATACTGAAACGATCTCTCTCGTTTGGTTGGAGATTTATTTGAGTTGAACCAATAGGTAGCGAATTATGGAACCAACGTAAACCTGTTTACAACAGATACATTCAAGGGTTTAGTTTGCTAGTTTTGTTTTAGAGCAAAACCACATTGGGCTATCTGATGTGCCCACCCCAGGGGAATCGAACCCTGGATTTTAGCGTTGTAAGTCCGGAACTTACCGCTGTCTCATCGCGAGACATTCAAGCGTATTTCAGGTTTAGAGATTACATTGAGAGAAATTTGGGGATGTGAAAATTAAAAAAAATGTCTTTGTTTGTAAGCTGAAAGAATCCACAAAATATAAGAGGTAACTTATGAACATCAACTATTTGTGCTTGAGGGGTGTTCACTTTTCATGGATATTTCTTCATCATATTGATAATTAAGTTTTTAATTTATTCAGTTCTAGATGGAACGCCAGTTTTTGTGAATGCTATTTCAAAGGTTCTGTGAACTATCATAAAATTAGATTCTTCTTGCAATCAGAAGGTGTTAAACTTCTGTAGTTGAAATATAGATTTGAAAAAAAATGGATTTATGATAATTAGATAACGATAACTTGTCTCGTCATTGACAATTTTAAGGTCTAAAAATGGTAATGCAGTCTCTACTTCTTCAATAATAAACTTAATGTTTCGGAGTCTTTTATTTGAATATAATAAAAACTTCTGAACATGATAGGTATGTTTGAAAAGTGCATAAACACATCTTTTAAGTAGAATAGGCTTAAAGTCATTAGGACACTGCTGCAATCATATCCGATCATGGTAACAGAGAAAAAAGGTAGCAAAGCAAGAGGCTAATTTGGGCTCCATTTTTTGCACCATGTTCTAAATGATAAATGAAACTTCATTAATTAGACATTTGCAATGAAGCATAAGTTAAACTGTGTCGTCTTTTTTGACAACAGTATTCACTTGATCGGTAACATATATTATTGTTCTACCATTTTATTAGCCTAGTATTGTTTATTGCATTGTACATTAATAACTACAAAGTCCATTGTTTAAAAATTAAAATAGGATTATTGGTACCATGCAGAAAAATGATAACATACCATTTTAAAACTTGTTGAATTACGACCTGTTATTAATTATAATAAGCATGTTAGTGTTAGCTTTAATGTTCGAGTCAGGATTGATAATCTTCTGAATGAATTCGTTTATTACATATGTTTGTGTTCTTAAATAATTATGTTTGGTTAGAACCTTCAAAATCAATTATAGATTAAATATTTCGGGCTTATGAACGGGTCGAGTGCCTTGATATGCATTTCATGCCTTCAGTGGCGGGAACAGGTTTAAGAATCTCAAGGACGTTTTACCTGCTTATCAAGATTGGCAAGCAACATGGCGAACGCGAGAACAAACCAAAACACAGCACCTTGTTTCCAGAAAAACCGCGAAGTTCAGCTCCATGAAGGTGCTTTAGTGTGGAATGATGGTCAGGTAAGAAACGAGCTGTGGTATACCCAAGAGAAATAAAATGAACAAGACAAGATCTAGACTGATTTTCTTTTATGTTAATAAACTTAATCAAAGAGCTAATTTTGTTTGTGTGTTTCAATAAGTTTATAGGTCGTTAGTTGTGGTTGAACAGACATTCGTCATTTTCTGAGTTAATTAACGTCTATGCAATGAAATGACAAGAGCTATTTGGTTTATTAGAATATAAAATTTTTAAAGGACAGAGCTTAAGAAAACTTGGTTTATCATGTCTCAGTTGTGGTTAGTTTTAGGTAATGTTTTCCTCTATTTAAGGAGGGTTATCAGTTGCATACTTACCTGTTTAAAAAGTGAGGCTCTAGAAGCTGACCTACGAACCGAGGTTACGCTAATGTCCATTCTTCGTAAGTAAAATACCAACAATCATATTTTTTTCTAAATATTCAAAAGCTAACTTTTATGTGATGTAACATATAAGTAAGTATATTATTTCTTCAAAAAATTATATACTAATTTATGATTCAGACCAACTCCACACTAAATTACTTAGTGTGTTGTATTATTACCTGTTAACACCAAGACATCAACAACTGTTGTTTTTCAGAAAATGATTCAATATTCAACTATCATCTTAAACCAAGAACTTTTTATAACTTGTAATGACGTCACCTAGACAAGAGACATACTAGCAACATTTTTAAGTGACTGTGATTGACCTTATATAATTTTGTGGTAGTTTGTAGCCTTGTGTTAAGAGAAGAACTTGTTTTCAGGCAAAATTTGTTTTAAATTAGACAGTGTTCTCATTTACGTAAAAATGGTGGGCCTCTTTTTATTATCTCATAAACAAGGAACACCAGAACCAAGTATTTGTGTGAAAACTGTAAAAAAATAACAACTAGGATAATTTCCTTTAGCCTCAGTTCTTGTATCTCACCTGATGATGCCAAACAAACCTGATGAAACGTTGTGAATAAAATAAACAAAAGGTTTACTATGTACAACGGATAAAACTTGGAGAACTTTAAAACATAGTTCTTTCTAATATTTAATTAATCTTTGTATATTGAGTTCTGAGTCTTGTATAAAAGTTTCTCGTATCATATCTTTTCACTAAAATCAATTGAACAAAAACTGGAATATACTAATTTTATCTAATATCTGAAAAAAAATTAATTTTCACTTACACTAGCTTATAACCGGTTTTTAGGCATTGTGGCACATTTGGTGAAGGACAAATATATTGTGGCACATTGATAATTCTAATAGACTAGAAGAGTTTCTTAAAAAGAAGCCTAGAGATATTCTATAGAAAAAAGATAGAAAAAGAACTTATTTGCATAATTTGGTTGAATCAGAAATGCTTGTTATCAGGCTCTCAATGTTGAGTTGAAAAGTCATATAAATATCGTTGTGGTATTGTTGAAACACGCAAATATCATTGTGGTATTGTTGAAACACGCAAATATCATTGTGGTATTGTTGAAACACGCAAATATCATTGTGGTATTGTTGAAACACCCAAATATCATTGTGGTATTGTTGAAACACCCAAATATCGTTGTGGTATTGTTGAAACACGCAAATATCGTTTGTGGTATTGTTGAAACACGCAAATATCATTGTGGTATTGTTGAAACACCCAAATATCATTGTGGTATTGTTGAAACACCCAAATATCATTGTGGTATTGTTGAAACACCCAAATATCATTGTGGTATAATTAAATTGAACTAAGAGAGCGGAATAAAACTTATACCACAAAAATTTGTAAAGTATAAACAAACGTTTTTAATGTTTCCAACTTTTTGGGCTTGGACGACCTTTCTCTTGTGATTTTAAACTATGATCGAGAAAAAGGTTTGATACCACAAAGGGTTATTATACATAGAACTTTCGATATGAGCGTCGTACAATAGATATGTGGAAGCTTAAACGTTAATCAGTAACAAATAAATATTATTTTAAAGTTAGGATAATATTAGTTTATAAAATATAAGGTGAGAAACTTGTATTTACTTGTTGGTGATTGTTATCCAGAAATTTTGAAATATATTTAAAACTTCAATAGTTACGTATGATATATATATGTGTTGTGTGTATGTTGAAATAAGTATATAAAAAATATGTTTACTTATTAGATATATACATGCGTGTGTTGTGTGTATGTTGTAATAAGTATATAAAAATCTATTTACTTATTATATATTTGTGTGTGAGTGTTGTGTGTTGTAATAAGTATATAAAAAATCAATTTACTTATTATATTTATATATTTATGTGTGTTATGTATATTGTAATAAGTATATAAAAATCTATTTACTTATTATATAGATATGTGTGTGTGTTGTGTGTATGCTGTAATAAGTATATAAAAAGTCTATTTACTTATTATATATATATGTATGTGAGTTATGTATGTTGTAATAAGTATATAAAAATATATTTACTTATTATATATATACACATCTGTGTGTTGTGTAATAAGTATATAAAAATCTATTTACTTATTATATATATATACATCTGTGTGTTGTGTAATAAGTATATAAAAAATATATTTACTTATTATGGATATATGTATGTGTGTATGTTGTAATAAATATATAAAAATCTACTTACTTATTATATATATATATACATCTGTGTACAGTATAATAAGTATATAAAAATCTATTTACTTATTATATATATATACATCTGTGTGTTGTGTAATAAGTATATAAAAATCTATTTACTTATTATATATGTTTATCATTTACAATTTTTTATGGTTAAAAGATCTTTTCTCTTCTCAATATCAATTTTTAGTTGCTGGACTTATATTTTGCGAAAAACGAAATAGTTGGTAAATAACAGTTTTATACCATTGTTTTTATTCAGTTGACCCTGTAAGGATATTTACTTTACAATTTGATAACAAACTACACTAAGAATACCACTTTTTAATACAGATTAGTCTATCTATCATATACAGTAATACTGATGCTGTGGCAGGAATCATGAAATGTCAGTATACCGTGTTTGTTTTATGGAGCATCTTATCAGCACAAATGAAGTATTAAAATTCTGCACAGATATTATAGAACAGCATATTTGTAAAATGAAATAACAAACACTTAACAATTTACAAACATTTAACCAACACAAATAATTGGCATTGTTTGTTATTATTCTTTGACATTTCTTCGGTATGGGCAGCTTTAATGTAGAATGATCATTTTCCCTTCATAATATTAGCATAAAATAAATGTCAAGTGTGATCCCTCATAATATTAACATAAAATAAATGTCAAGTGTGATCCCTCATAATATTAACATAAAATAAATGTTAAGTGTGATCCCAAATTGTTTACTTATAAATATCACTTATAATGAGTTTTATCAAGTATGGCTATTGCCATCATATCACTCATTCATTCATATCACTGACTGCAGGAATACTTTCGCTGCAAAAAAAAACCCAAAAAAAAACAGGCCCAGACATGTGTTAACCTTAATTTTAGTGCATAGTGTTCAGTGAATCAGTAGTAGTTCTAGTGATCTAGAAGAGAATTATAATATTAATAGTTGTAGTTAGAAATTATCATTAATTCTTTAAAGTGCCATAATATTTACTCTACTGTTTCATTTAGTGTATAATATTTTTGTATTTGGTGTCGGTTTGCGTATTTTTTCCATTAATCTTAGATAACGACGTATTCACTAGTTTGTATCGTAAGTCTATGAACATCGTTAAACAGTGATAAACTTTTATCTCTAATATACATATATATTGTTCTGTAAAAAGAAAATATTATGTGATCGTCAATACTTCATTAAATGTATTTTATAAAGTGGGATAATTAAAATAGTTTGGTATCTATCTTCAGGGTACGTACCCTGATATTCTGTGTATGTAACATTTTTGATATAACTCTTATCTCAATAAATTTACCAGAACATAGTAATCAACTGCATAAAAAGAATGACACGAATTTACTACTTGGCGGATATTAAAAATCCCCGAACTCAAAACTGAGTTTGGTAACACGTATTTTCGGATTTAAATCAAATTATGTTAAAAGTTTAGTTTACCAACTTTTACCCAAAGATTCCCCATCATGTTTCTTTTCTTGGAATTCCGACTAGTCTCTAAATATTACAGACTTTTACGTTGGAAAAATGTCTAAACAATTTCACAGTGAAATTCTAGTTATGGGTTACTCCTGCTTTATCAGAGCTGTTTTGGAAGAGTGATACTATTTATGGGTTATTCCTGGATTAGCAGAGTTGTTTCGGACGAATTTCATTAACATTAAATGTTTAACAAAATGAGTTTATTGAATATAAACATTATGGGACAATAGACGTTGATCAGAAAGCTGGTTTATCTATAATTCTAATGGTGCTACTTTGAAGACTTAAGATGTGAATTTACTGTGGAAAACTTTAGGAGTATATCAGGCAACAAGTGTTTACATCTGAAATGGCGTTGTGTTGACGGGTTTAAAATGAGAGATTTTGTTTGTTTGTTTTGAATTTCGCGCAAAGCTACACGAGGGCTATCTGCGCTAGCCGTCCCAATTTAGCAGTGTAAGACTAGAGGGAAGGCAGCTAGTCATCACCACCCACCGCCAACTCTTGAGTTACTCTTTTACCAACGAATAGTGGGATTGACCGTCACATTATATCGCCCCCACGGCTGAAAGGGCGAGCATGTTTGGTGGGATGGGGATTCAAACCCGCGACCCGCAGATTGCGAGTCGAGCTACATAACCATCTGGTCATCATGCCAGGCCGAAATGAGAGATGGTATCATAGTTGTGAGCAATTGAACTAGATATTTGCGGTATCCTTTCAGAAGTAACTAACAAAATAAAATAAGTACATCAATCAGTAGAAATAGAATCTTCAGGGCCAGTGAGAGTATCAGACTGCGAATCAAAGGGTCATCCAGGATTCTAAAGACGATTCCGCTAAACACGATCCGCACTTTCAGTTTAGGCGCATTATAAAGTGAC